CAACTTCTGCAGAAGCAGAATGAAAAAAAAAAAAAAAAAAAAAACGCATATCTGGCCAGGTTTAACGCCATCCCTGTTTGTCATCTCATTCATCTAAAATCACTGCCTTCCCAGCACGTCACGGTACTTTTTCTTTGAAACTTCTGACAAAACACAAGACTTGAAAATTTTCTTCACAGCCTTTCACGAAATTTTTTTTACCAATGTTTGAATCTTTGCATCAGTCAGCTGAACAATGAGCAAGAGCTTGTATGACAAACGAGCCATAAAGTACTTTCTAAAATGTCCCGAAGTCAGTCTGCAAAAAAAAATCATCCTCCTACAATTGAATGACTGCTCGGCCACTGAGCCATTATAAACGATAATATCAACTGATCACAGTAACAAACACCAGTCCGTTAATGCAAAAAAAGTCTGGAAACCTTACAGAAATCATCCAGATCATCGGCACACATCGCTTCAACTTTCATTTGTTACGAAAACTTGTGCACTTTATTGATAACATTTTATCATCTTGCGGCTTTAAGAACCGATGTGGGCTAAGTGAGCAGCAGTACATACGGATTTATAAGCTGATTCAGAACAACAACTGACTTTTGTTACGACAGAAAAAAAACTCAGTAAAACCCTCTCATTTTTTAAACCGCCATAGTTTTAAACCAACAAAAATTGAAAAAATGACAAGGTGGGAAAAAATGCTACGCAGTGGAAAAGTACAAGAGGAAGTTGACAAAATTTTAAAAGATTAGAAAAATTGTGGAACTAGTGAGATTAATGAAATGGTAAGAAATGTTTCGGCCCATAAAGTCGTATACATTTCTTGCCAGTTTCATAACTGGACTTTGTTAGTATGACGGTTTAGTGCAGCGTGGAAGTTTGAAAGAGCAGTGGCTCCAGGACAAGAAAAAAGACGTGTTAGCTGTGAACAATAATCGTGGAAAATGCGAAATAGTGAGAGCAAGAGTGTGGCAATGGCACAGCTCTGGGCGATATGAGTCAGCTGACCACAAATAACTGCTTCAAATGATGCGTCATGCAAGTTTGTTATTTCAGGAGATGA